TTCCTGCTGACCCACGCAGCTGGTCTTCCTCCCCAGGCCAGGCAGGTGGGAGTCAGCCAGGCGGCAGGGGTTGTGACGGCCCAGCTGCCCCTGGCCATGCAGAGAAGAGAGGTCTCCAGCGTCCTGGTGACAGGTGTGAATGCACTGGCACTGGCAACGACAGTGATCAAGCGGTTCTCGGATGCTCATGTCCCTCCCGGCCCCTAGGACTGAGGAGAAAGTCAGGGAAGCAAGAAACATGCTGGCACGGCAGGATCGGGTGGCCGAGACTCTTGTCAGAGTGAGAATGGAGAGGAGCCTTCACAGGAGCTGTCACCAGAACACACAGCTCCCTTTCTTCCAAAGGGCCTTGAGGAGCACCAGGCAGCGATTGCCCCATGGCAATCTCCCTACGATCCCCTGTGTCCGGCCAGATACCCTAACACCCATCTCTGGCCACAGCAGGCACCAGCACTTGAGCAGTCTTCTCCTCTGTTTGACCAAGACTCTTTGGAAACCCTCAGACTTTTAGAGGAAATCTGCATCGCTGATTGTCAGCCAAAGCACCCCGGCTCTCAAAATCCAGATGCAGTGGCACAGGTCCCGCCAGTCCATCAATTCTCAGTGCACGACGAGCACTTTCAGGCTGTGCTTCAAGGCTTTCTGCAAGACTCACCAGTGCCTCCTTGGGAGGGATGAACAAGGAAGACTTGGTGTTGGGGAGAAGAGGGAGGCAGGAAGAAGTCTGCACCCCTGGGAAAGTGAGCGGGAAGGCAATGGTTCTGACGCACACTGGGCAGACCTGACCCTGGGACTGAATGCCTCTGGGGGCCTGAGTGACTGGAGCCTGTGTCGTTCCCCTGGAGACACCACGGGCAGCCTGCAATGGAGCCATTCATCAACTCGAATTGATCAACAGCGAGGTCATGACCAACAGCAAAGTCAGCCAGCCATCCTCTCCCTCCAGGCAGGCTGCAACGGCCAGGACTAGGAATAGAGTCCAGGCAAGGAACAAGGGTCAGCCTGAAACACATCTCCACTGCTCTCCCTTTGGACAGGATGGAAAGATAGCTCAGAAATGAAGTTGCCCTGAAAAGAAGGAAGGGATCTTTGGAGGACTGAGAACGGGATTTCAGGACACAGAGCTTTGGCTTTTGACAGCGAGTTGACTGTTTTGGGTTTCATGCAGAGAGAGAGTGGGCCTTGACAATGGAAACTGTGGCCTACCCATCCCACTCACTATCAGTTCATGGAGGGACGCTACAACTTGTGTGGCTCTCACCCACACTAACTGCCTTTTCAATGTGGGTTTCCTTGAGACTATTGGCAAGACCCAGACAATAGAGAGAAAGGAAGTATGTCCACCACCTCCCGTCATCGCACAGACAGTATCCATGCACTCTTCGGTCACTTTGGGGGAATCTTGTATCTGCTGAGGGAGAGATCTCAGCAGAGGCTTTTGTGTGTTTCTTTGTTTCACAAATAAAGGAATTCAAAATGAACTTCTGGCTTCTTGGACCCTTTCTCTCTCTGAGACCTTTCCCTTCAGGTCAAGTGGTAACTTCTAAAAGCCTGTAAGGACCATGAAGGCGGGAGAGGGTTGACACAGGTGGGTGTGATCAACACCTATATGCAAGTCAGAGGTCAAACATCTGTGCTAATTGGGGTGTCTGTTAGGGTCAGTCATTTGGAACCATGGTGGCGAGAGTTCGGGTGGGTTTTCTGTCTTTTCCAAATGAAGGTATGGGAAGGAGATGTGTGACCCTAGATCCATTTCACTGCGTCGAGCAACAAAATCACCCACCACCAGAGTTGCTTGGCTACAAAGATGTCATCACTGTGAGCATTTTGAAAATTTCTTCGAG